TACAAAGCAGTCTTAAAAAGCAGTTTTACATTTGTTTCACAAATACTTAGTTCCGCGTTAAAATGGATTTAAATTACAATAATTATTATTGTTTGCTACTTAATTCTCTAGCTATTACAAATTCATTAGTTTTAGCAGTTTGCTGATTCAGCTTCAAGTTTTCCTTGTTTCTTTTCTGTTTGTTTGTTTGCGCTAGTCATCAAGCTTATCTTGAGAGCCACAGTATTCTTCTATCGCTCGACATAAGCTCATCTTTTGCCTTGAACACATAATCTCCGCCTGCAAATTGTGAAAGAATAACATTTAAATTGACGTTATGAAAGAGGTTTTCTATTGAGCAGAAAAATTACTCGTGTCTTCGATAATATTACGAAATTTTTGTGCTGTCCTTACGCTTATGAATAGGAAAAATTCCTTTCTTTTAAACTGTATTCTATTAAGACTTCGATGCAAACGAGTCGTATAAATATAAATTATAGAAATGAGAGTATGAACGATCTGTAATTTCCACTGACAAAGCTAGTGGCGATAGAGAAATTGTATGAGTATAAACCGAACTATACCTTTTTCAGTTGCCGTTTCAGTGTTTGTCCTCCATTGGAGATGCAATAATTCGGATTCAGTGTACAGTAAGAAGGGACGCTGCCTGGAAAACTCGAGCGGATTTCTCCTACAAAGAAAATGCTTACAAGCATGGCAATCACCATAACTTGAATAGCGCCATGAGTGTGAGCTCTTCCCATTATTCACTAAGTCCTTGGTTCAAGTCTTCACTCACAAGAGATGTTCTGTCAGTTAGGTTTGACCTAAACCGTTTCAAGAAGTCAGATTTATATAGCATTAAGCACTGCACGACATCTTTGCTTAGCGGCGTACGTCAGTTTTCCGAGCAAATTAAAGTCGTTAAGTAGAGCTTGCAGTGAGCAGGGCGAAGGTTTTCATCTAACATACATACTTCATCTCGCATTAGTTCCATCCCGGGAGCTAATGCGTTTTAAAGTAAAATTAAGGAAGTTCTTAGACTTTAAAACAAAGCCGATCGCCGTAATTTCCCACTGGACTGGAATAAAAGGCAAATTAAATAGAGCCATAATGTGAAATTGGGATATTTTTTTACCCTCCTACCCTGCGTAGGGCCATGGCGATTGACGAGGCATGTTTTCTGTGCATCCTACGCGTTAATTGACCGTTTGTTTTTTTCTGAATTTTGTGTTCATCCACTATTCAAAACGCGACAGAAAACACTCCAAGATCTAGAATATATCGATGTGCATGTGTAAAATAAAAAATCGAATAAACCAGCCTATGAAGCAACTTATAAAATACCCCTCACAACCCTTCCTAGGCTAGCAAAGTCATCCAGCAGAAATATTTATCTTGCTATCATGTTAATGGAACACAACTATGTCTTTTCATCCGAAATGATCAATATTGCACACCTAGCTTTTTCGCCGCCAAAGATTTCGGCGAATTCGGTTCTTTAGCGATGCTAATGTCTTCTAAGTGCTGTTATTTTGTCGCTTTCGTTTTTTTCCTAACAAGACAAAACTTCCTGCACAAATTTAAGTCTAAGAGTAAAGAAAACGAATACCGTGTATACTAATTAGATTTTAAGTTAAATTAACTCATTTGGAAGACAAGTGTTTTCGCCCACTTATGCACGACACCATGACGTCAAACGTGTTCAACAGTTTAATTTGTTTTTCCTTAACACGTAACTTAGAGATGGAGCTTTCTTTCTCCAGAATCGAAAACTACTTCAAGTGTCGCTTTAAAAAGGCCTACACTGTTCGCGTGACGTCATACACACGTCACAATGACGCAATGAGCTGGAGCGAAACCCAAAAGCATGGTTTTATTTTACTTTTCAAATTACAGCAATTAAATACGGATACAGGCTCTCACGAAAGCATCTTAATATTAACCAGCTGATAATTTTTGGCCGATCAAGAACTTCCGCAAATCCATTTTGTTCTCTCTCCTATGTTACCAATATCGAAAAATGAAAGAATATATAACAAATTCATGGCTCTATGTGCCATCCATCGGTGACAATGACATGAAAAGAAATCACACATATTTTTGTATCCACACGCGCACTATATAACACTGCTAGATAAAGTTCGAAGAACTGAAGAACAAAGCTTTTGAAAGTTAGCCTACTGTTGCTCACGGTTTACTCAGCCGATTAAAAAAAATAATTCGCTAGACATCTGTTTGTTGCTGACAGGAGTGACATCCTAAAATTTCAGAAATGTTTGTATACTTAACTCTAGTTTTGACAAGGAAAATCTATATAGAGGTTTCGAAAAATACAGTAGTGTACTAGTCAACGATTTTTCTTTTTAAACCACGTTGTCAAAGCGCTAAAGTTCAGAATTTGAAAAGAAATCTTAGAGTTTATTGTGGAAAACAAAAGAAAAACATTTCCGCATGAAAGTCCTTCTTTATGATCAAACAGGTCACACATTTGGACTATTTGTTCAGCATAATAAACAGTACAACATGAAAGTACTGCTCAATAGCTTTCATTTGAATGGTCACACTAGGGTTTCATCCACAGACTTGAAAGTTAGAACCATCTTGTACGGCATAATAAACAGTACAACATGAAAGTACTGCTCAATAGCTTTTATTTGAATGGTCACACACGATAGGTTTTCATCCACAGACTTTAAGTTAGAACCGCCTTGCACAGCATAATAAACAGTACCATATGAAAATACTGCTAAATATAGCTTTCCTTTGAATGGGTTTTAGGGTTTTATCAATAGACTTAGAAGTTAGAAACATAAAAAATGGAGTGAGATTTGTCGTATACCTTTTTAATTCATAGGCATTCACACCAGAATGTTACCAAATTCTGTGCACGTCGACTCGATCTGTGCAGCTATGTTTTAACACCAATTTACTTTCTCGATGGATCGTGAGCGAGTCTTGCGAATGCAGGCGCTTTCAACATTCAGTTATCGCAATCTGTGCTGTGTAGTCGTTCCAGGCCAAAGCATCCAAATGGCTTATACATGGCACACTGAAGGATGGCAACCGATCACTGGCGGCGTGTTTCTCAGAAATCCAGCTGGGAGACTCCGTGTCCGAAAATCTATTCTTTTTACATTTCATAAAGTGAGCAATGTTATGAATACTTGCATTCACGAAACAAGAAGTTTGGAAATCAAAAATAGCCATCGTGCCCAAAATGGCTTCTGGATGTTCGAGAACCATACACCGGGTAACTTTTTTTGATATAATCAAGAGAAAATGCCTCATTTTCTCTTGATATAACTGATATAAACAAATTTATACACAAGTGCGTACATTGTATTGCGCTTGAGTTTCCTATTGAAAATAATAAACCTTCCATCTAAACATGCAAACCAAAACTTTCAGAATTGAAACGAGCGGCCGGCAAAGAGTTTCCTAAATCTGGTTCCCTCCTCTAAACTCAGGTTCGTTGTAACAGGAAGACAGAAGTAAGCGCCCGCACCTTAAAATGCCCTGCCGCTAGACAAAACATAAACCCAAACAAAAATGACCCCTACTTTATCATCTTGGTCAGCCATCTGAAAGAACTTTCGAGAACTACTTCAAGACAAGAAAAGCCGGATTTCGCTTCAATTATTCAAGAACGCTTCGCTAGTATTTGTTAACTACCAATATCATTGCGTTGTGAAAATGCCGCTAGTTGAATTGGCTCATGCCATCGCTGGGGTCCTTGCATTGAGATCTATCTCAGCGATTAAATGGAAGCTAGCCCTTACTTGATTTAGACTATGTTGAAATACATCACGGAGGTTGTCTGTTGTACCTGACTTTTACTCTTAATATGGGCAAACTGTGCTATAAATATCCCAACGATTTCTGTCCGGAATTCCCAGAAAAAGCCGGTCCAAAAATTTTGCAAGTCATTTCAAGACATAAACGTAAACCGGAGGATTTTTTAACGGATTTAACGTATTTGGTGTACTTGGACTCGTGTGCAGCAAAACGGTATTCAGATTCTTATAATCGTTTGCACACTTTGACAATTCATTTGAAAACGGTTACCAAGTAATAGGAAAAATATTTCGATTCATATGAAGAAATAAATCTTCACCCTACGAAAGACAACGACAAAGAATTAACTTTAGATTTTCCATTCAAAATCTCCGGAATCGGAACCGGGACGTTTTCTTTGACTTATCTCGGGTTCGCTCACTGTGTAAACGGCTATGCGGTACTTAAAACATCCCAGATTCGTCATAAATCCTAAACAATATCTATAGTGCAAACGTAGTCCAAGTATTCGCTCGTGAAAAATTCGAGCTCATAGTCTACTTGTAAATCAATCTCATCTCCTATATGCTTTAAAATGTACGAAATACCGAATTTAATAGCAGAACATAACTGAGTTCGGACTAAGGAGACAATTCGTAGCAAAAAACAAGTAATTCGTGTCATAACTATGTCATAACATTTATCATACATTTCGAAGTTTTATTAACGTTGTTTCAGTGCATGTCACGCACAAATTTTAATTCTGATTTACCATACATCTTGTTCGCTTTCTCCATTCTAATCGGCTGAGAGTAGGTATCTAAAGCCGACACCGAATTGTAATGTCAGATCGACAAGCATGCAACTGTACAACTGTAGCGTCACCTTTACAGATATTTTAGATTTATAGATACATTTGTGAATGTCGTGTTTCAGGGGCAACCAACGGATCTTCTCAGTAAATAATCTGATCCGAAGGCGTCCTTCGGTTTTGGGTTTTAGTGATCTCAAACTAAACAAACATACGCAGTGAAAATCATTTTTATACAACAAAAAAAGGCACTTCTGTTAACTTCAGTCCTGGGTTAGCGTTACCAGCTTTCGAACAACCCGGCCCTGAAATATTGTCAAAAATAGGTGCCCCTGATATATACAGCTCAGTGAAACAAAACTTTTAGAATACTACCAAGTTGAGCGCAGGCTACCTTTACGCTGCGCAAGGAAGGAACAGAGAATTAAAAAAATACCCTGGGATCGAGGAAAACCTTATAACCTCGATTTTATTTATATGGTTGGTTTCTGTTCACCCAAAAATTTGCGGAAATTTCGCTTCACAAATTAACTAACTTTATCATAGACGTTTTAGTACAAGCTTCGGAGAGTTGTGGAGCTCTTCAAAAGAACTAAATTTTCAGTGTTCTATATTTTCCCGCTTAAGTCTCCTTACAAGTTCTTTCATTTCAAACTGACCGAAATTTCTCTATTTCATTTACGGAACTGATCGTTGAAGCAGTTGTTGAGCGGATGATAAGCGCACATACATCTCTCTAAAAATTTGACCTAATTTTCTTACGAGTAACCAAAATTTACAAATTACAAAAATACCGCGTTTAGCACGAAATCAAAATAAATTTCACCGTTTTTGTTTTCTTCTTTGGCTAGACCTAATATAAAATTCAATTTCGATCATAATCAAAGGGTCTCTTGATATTTGGTTGAAATACAGTCACTAGACAATTCCAAAAGGGCTTGGTTAATAAAGGCACATAATCTACCTGCGAATGTAGTATCAACAAGGATTCAGTCGCCTTAAGCAACAAAGCGCCTTTCTAACGTTCATCGAAAGCACCACACAGTGACTTGGATGATAATATCTGAGACCTAGGGGTCTCAGGTGACAAGTTCAATAACCAATCAGAGCGAAGGTGCGGTATTAATTAGAACCAATAGGTGAAAGCTGATTGCATCACGTGACTTTTCCCGCGCTTTCCGCCTGTTGCAGGCCATTGTGCCTCGTTGTAACTGGCTTCTAACACTGTTTGGTTTTGTTTCGTTGGTTTTTTTTCCTATGACAAAGAACCATTTTTAAATTATTAACTGTAAACTTGTCTAATGCATCTGAATAAATGATTCCAGCCTTTTCGGCACAATTCCCTCGAAGTGCAACTTTTCTGCCATAATCTTTCGAGCCGCGAGGCACTGGAGACCAGGCACGTGATCAGCAGCCTGGATAACACGCCGGACCTTCTCGCACCTCGCCAAGTCAAGAATTGTCTTACCCGAGGAATTGCGCGCATCCATATGCGCCCCAGCATTTAGAAGACACGATAGTACATCTCTCTCCGCGTGACCTTTAGTGAGCAGTATATGAAGTGCAGTGTTCCCGTCGCCGTCAACAGCGCTCTGATCGACACCGCTGTCCATTAGAAGCTCGCAGACGCGAAGGCTCGGAAAATGGAGGTGCTCTTTAAGAGAGCTTATTTCCTCTGTTCTGGAGTTTGAGGCAAGGTGAAGTAGAGTGGATCCTGTTGTACTGCGCAGGCCCGCCCAGGCAACGGCCTTGGCGGTCTCCATGACAACTTCTACGTCACGCTCGTCTGACGCCACTTCCAACAAAGCAGACAAGTAGTGAAGAACGTACACCATCATTTTATCACGTGACTCGTACAAGGCAGGACAC